TGAAGATTATCAAACACAATTGCCAGCGTGGGGGCCCTTGGCTGGCTCAGTTGGTAGAGGATGTGAGTTTCACGCTTGGGGTTGTAAGTTGAAGCCCTATGTTGGGTGCAGAGGTTACTTAAAAATAAAATCTTTAAAAAAAAAAAAAAAGAAAGAAAGAAAGAAAAGACAATTGCCAGTGTGAAAGAACAAGGACAATGCAGGACGGCAGAATCTGCCAATGGCCTAACGGGAGTGAGGAAAAGAAGGAGGATCCAAAGGAGGAGTACTGAAAATTGACATTAGATTTACATTTTTCTTAATTTATATTTTGAATAGGTATTGTACACAATGGTAGAAATTTCAAAAGGTACCACAGAGGGCATTTTCTGTATGTTGATTTATCTGGTTTATATAGTCAAAATAATTTATTCATTGGGACCATAAGCTTTTTTTTCATAAGAATTTTGTAGTAGATATCTGTCGTTTGTGTGTGCCCCAAATCTTTCCTTTGTAGTTCTTCTATATCATGAACTCTCTTTTCCATAGATAGAAACAAACAAACAAGGACAAGACATTTCTCAACATCCTTTGCTGTCAGGATATAGACATTTGACTATCTTCTAGCAACCCTCCCCAAACTAAGCATAACTTGGAATATGTGCAAAAGGTTGCAAACACATCATTCTTTTAATAAGTGTGGACATAGGGGCATGTGGTTTTCTGCAAGAATTGTAATGGGAATGGGGTCCTGGTCAGTCCTGGCTTTACAGATGTGGAGCATCACCTGGAAGCCATACCAGGATTTCTGTGATAGCACCCTTATCATGTGTTTGGACATCTGTGGCGCAGTGGGACATTATTCCTGGCTGCTTTGCTTCAGACTGTGTGACATCCAGGCCTTGTTTCTTGGCTTTCCCAGAAATTCTGATTAATATCATGTAATAAGTTTCTACTGAAATTAGCTAGAGGGGATTCTTTCTCTGAAAGAGACCCCAAAGTACTGGGAAGCTGGGATTGAGAAAGTGACCCGGTTGGATTTGAAAGCAGTAAGGATGAGAAACAGGTAACATGCCGGTACCGAGTGGCGAAAAAAGTCACTATAACTATTGTAATAGAAGGCAGGGCGATATTACCCCTGCCTCACTTTAGACAGATGCATCAACAGATTATCTTGGGACGCCAAATTTACAGTGAGACCAACCTCCTGCTCCCCAATCTCCTCTCTGCTCCCCAGGATTTATAATGGGAATGAAGGAGAACCTGTTCCACGTCTCCCGGAGCTCTGAGTGAAATCCAAGAATATAAAAGGGGGTCAAAGAGAGGATTTGGAGAAGATAGTTCAGATTTTTTTGCAGAGGCTTTTGCTCTGCTTTAACCCCTCTCCTCTTTGAACTTCAGCCAAAAGAGGCTAGGCACACACAGCTGGATATCCAGGGGCAGAGTTGAAAGACACCACCCAGAATAGACAGCCATCCACTTGAATCAAGGGAACTGCAGGAGAGGGGCCTGCAGGGGACCTCCAAAATTCCTATGCAAGAGCCCTGAGACAAAGAATTAGCTTGAGCCATCCTAAAGGCTCTGAGGAGTCACCAGCTTTAATCATTTCCAAGGCCCAGAGAACATGAAGCCACAACTCACTTGCCCTTCTCTCTATCTCATCTCTACCCTACCTTCAGCCTTGGAGGAGAAAGAACACGACAGCCAGCAGGTGGAGGTGAAGGTAAGTGGGGGAGAGAAAAAGCCTTAGAGGCTGTCAGAAGTTTCATCCTGGTGGAGAGGAGGATCCTCTCCTCCTCCAGCCTCTGAATGAAGTTTAAAGAATTAGTGGAAAGTACATATAAAACTGTGTTTTTTGAAAGTAATGTCTCTACCCAACACAGGGCTCGAAATCACAACCCCAAGATCAAGAGTCTCATGCTCTACCGACTCTGCCAGCCAGGCATCCCAACATAAAATTGCATTTTGATTGTATCATGAGTTGTGCTCATAGTAGTCCCTGGCACCCAGTGGCGGAACAGCAGAAATATCCCCTCTAGTCACACAGAGTGAAGTGCCTGGGAAAAGCAAGACTCTGGTGGTTGGCAGCAGGAGGAAGATAAATGCTATTGAGGTGAGTGGTTTCACCTAACTGCAAGATCACATTTAAAGAAAAAAGAAATCACGGGCTTAGGATTTAAATTCTGGCTTCAAAGCACGATCGGTGAATGAGGAAGCTTCTGTGACTACCCTAAAATACTTTTTTTTTAATTTTTTTTTTCAACGTTTATTTATTTTGGGGACAGAGAGAGACAGAGCATGAACGGGGGAGGGGCAGAGAGAGAGGGAGACATAGAATCGGAAACAGGCTCCAGGCTCCGAGCCATCAGCCCAGAGCCTGACGCGGGGCTCGAACTCACGGACCGCGAGATCGTGACCTGGCTGAAGTCGGACGCTTAACCGACTGCGCCACCCAGGCGCCCCTACCCTAAAATACTTTTTATGTCACTCAGGCAGAGGGCTAATGAAGCCAAAAATCAGAGGAGATGGATCCTGAAGGCTGATGAATTACAACACAGATTGGATGCACAGTCGAAACAGGCCTTTCATGGTATTTATTTGGAAAAAGTGGTTCTTCCCCTGAGTACTGGGATGGAGATACTTCGTAGTGTCAGATGACCCTGAAACTCACAGAGCCTCCTGCGCTAACAAAAGCAGCCTTTCCTCCCATTCTGATGAGGCTGGCCCTGTCGTATTCAGAAACACCGCAAGTGCATTGAGTGGTCGCCTTGCAAGGGGAGATCCTCATGGCCCACCCCACCTCTGTTCACTGACTCCAGACACACCACTAGAGTCAGATTCCAGCGTGCCCTGAAGTCAAAATCAGACCTGGGGCAAGAAGGCTTATACACCCAAAGCATTGTGAGGTGATGGGCAAGAAGAATTCTGAGAGTGTTGGCAAGAGAAGAAAATGATCATATTTTATTTATCAAATCAAATTTATCTTATAGGTGCCCTCACCAAAACCTCTGGATTCAACATGCTAGATGAAACAACCGGAACAGGTTTAAATCTCTTGCTTGGTTGTCAGACACTGAGTGTTTGTGGTGGCCCGTGCACATGAAGTTCAGATGCTATACTTCCTTAATGAGAAGCGAATCCAAAGACTTAAGGAGAAAGGAATATCAGAGTGGATTTATAATACCTGAACTACACACCCAGCTTCAGAAAGAGGGGGGGGAAAACAAAACAAAACAAAACAAAACAAAACACAGTGCCCACATAGTGGGGAGAAGAGTATTAACATTCTGGAAAAATACTGGCCCTCTGCAGGCCAAGGATGATAGTGGGAGACACTTCTATGGAAAACGGTTTCCTGAAGAGGTCCATGTGAGCCTTAACCTTCAGAGGCAGCCAGGTCCTGATTCCCGAAACAGGCAGAAGGCTTAGGTGTGACTGAGGGTACCTAATAGATTCTAGGATCTTTAGGGCTAAAATACATGGCACGAAAATGTTTGCATTTTTTTTTTTTTTTTTTTTTTTGCATTAACTTGGCAAATAACAACACAATCTAAGTTTGGGGAACAGTGAACTGACTTGAGCCACGATGATGCAGAGTCAGTCTTCACCCAATTCCCAGACCTGAGTCACCTTCCAGACCCAGAGCCCCTTGAATAAAGGGAAAACCAGAGGCTCTTGAGGACATCCCCACAATAGCACCTCAAGGGTAGACCAACGACTTCCTCCTTTTCTTTAATAAAGGCACTTGGAACCATTTGCCAGGGCAACTGGGCCCTGAGCAAAGGGACTTAAACAGGCCTCACAGGGTCATTCTTGTCTCTGAGCTAATGCTAATCCCCAAAGACTCCAAACGCCACCTCTGTTTATCTGGTAAGTATAAGCAAATTTATGGCAAACAGGTACCAACAGGGCTCACTCACAGTAGTGAGCACTAGTGGATCCTCGAACCCGTTGTATAGTTATTTCCTTGGTTCTTGAGTAGTTGCAGTTGAAGTTTGAGCAGAATAGTCACACTGGCTCCCTGATCTGCGATGTGAATCTTACCATGGTAGGAAGGGTTAAATGGAAGCCTCTGGAATGATCCCTCTGTACTGAAATAATAAAGATGTTTTGGGGGCACCTGGGTGGCTCAGTCCGTTAAGCATCCGGCTCTTGATTTCGGCTCAGGTCACGATCTCACAATTTGTAAGACGGAGCCCCGCATCGGGCGCCACACTGACAGCACAGAGCCTGTTTGGGATTCTCTCTCTCTCTCTCTCCTTCTCTCTCTGCTCCACCCCCACTCATTCTCTCCCTCTCTCAAAATAAATAAATAAACATTTAAAAAGTAATAAAGATGCTTTGTACGTGTTAAGTCATGTGATCTTCACAATAATCCTACGATATGGGGTCTGTTATCATCTCCTTCGGCAGATGAGGAAACTGAGGCGCAGAGAAACTAAGTAATTTGCCCGAACTGACACAGCTGGTAAGACTGGATTCAAACCAGGCAGACCCTCCGCCGAGTAAAGATCCCTAGTCAGCTGAGAAGCCTGCTGCTGAGAAAAGGAATAGGAAACAGGTGGTAGAGGAAGGGTGCTGTAAACACCGATGGTGCGTTTGTGAATGCCATAGAAGCAAGGGTAGTGGTGCCTGTTCACAGTGACAGGAATATGGAGAAGTGGTTAAACGCACAGAATTGGAAGTCAGGCTTCATGGGTTCAGATCTCAGATTCACTGCAGAAGACTCTGGGCAAGTTTCTTCTCTCTGGCTCAATCTCCCCCATTTGTAAAATGATAGTCCCTGCTTAGTAGAGTTATTATGAAGAGCAAATGAGTTAACAGATAAATAAAGTACCGGAGGGTAGTGTTTGCTGTTATCACCCTCCTTGATTTATCATGCATACTTTTACCCAATTGGGTGATTTTATATTTTATATCCTTTTCTTCTTCTATTAGTTTATATAGGTTGTATTAATGATGATTAACCTTAAACTTTAGTCCATAGGTCATGGAAATAACCAAATGGGCTCGTTACTCACCTTAAGAAAGAATGTCCAGTAGTCAGAAATCCTGAACTTAGAGCCAGAATCAGACTTGGCTCTGACTTTAGTTCCCTCCTCCTGGAGAGAAGGTATGTTCTCATTTTTACAAGGAATAGTGGCATTATCTCAGGTTACGGGAAACTGCATGGCTTAACAGCAGATTTTCTCCAGATGCTTCACTGAAAAAAGCAATTATGATTATGGCAGGTATTCAATGATATGAATCCATAGTATCCAACTCATTGTGATACTGGTCACTGACTGAAATGCCGATGGTAGGATTAAAGTGCAGAGTTTATATGGTAATTATTGGTTTAATATCTTTCCGATGTGTTTTTTCCAACACCATCCACCAATTCTCCAATTCTCAGCAGACGCTGACTGGGTGTTCTACAAATTTAACTCAATTCTGACACTATCTACCTGCAGATAAGCGTTAGATCTCACAGGTTAAGGGTTCAGTCCCACAAGACTGCCCCCACTTCAGACACCAATTGAAGGTCTAGGCTTTTGCCCGAGCTTCTGACCAACTAGCTATAAATTAGAGTCCCATAGCTCCTTCCTCAAGTCTAATTTGCTAGAACAGCTCACAGTACTCAGAGAAACATTTCCTTACATTTCCCGACTTATTATAAAGGATAGGAATGAACAGCCAGATGAAGAGGTACATAGGGGGAGATCTGAAGGGTCCTGATCTCAGGAGCTTCTTTCCCCCATGGAACTGGGGTGCACCACACTCCCAGAATGTGAATATGTCCACCAATTATCAAATCTTGTTGCTTAGCAGTATTCATAGAGCTTAATCTGCAATAACCCCTCCTCTCCTTCCCAGAGGTCAATGGGTGGGGCTGAAGTTTCCAAACTTTTAATCACTTGATCTTTCTGGTGGCATCGCCATCCTGAGGCAATTTAGGGGGTCCCACCCTTAGTCACCTCATTGACATAAACTCAGGCGTGCTTAAAAGGGGCTCCTTCCGAATAACAAGACACTCCTATCGCTCAGGAAATTCTAAGTGGTTTAGAAGCTCTGTGCTAGGAACCAGAGATGAAGACCAAATACATACTTCTTGGTATAAGTCACAATACCACAGTCATTTATTTCATTAGATTGCAAGTTCCACGAAGACCCATTTTTTTCTCTCGTTCACCAAAGTATCTCCAGAGCTAGTGCAGGGTTCTGCACATGTCATTATTTCAATAAATTTTGGCATCGATGACCCATTGGTTTGAATATAATAATAATATTATCTATTGCTGGATAACAGATTACTGCAAATTTAGCAGCTTAGAACAGCATACATTTATTATCTCACGATTTCTGTGGGTCAGGGGTGCAGGCATGGATTCGTTGAGTCCTCTATGCCAGGGACTCATCTGAAAGCTACAATCATAATGTCGGCAAGAGCTGCCGTCTTACTTCAACATGGGGAACAATCCACACGATTTCTGGCAGAACTCAGCTCCTTGTGGATGTTTGGGCTGAGGGCCCCAGTTTCTTACTGGCTGTCGGTTGAAGATTCCCCTCAATTCCTGCTATGTGGCTCTCTTGGTAGGAGAGCTCACAGTGTGGCAACTTGCTTCATCAAAGCCAGCAAGGAAAAGGGGCTGTCAGTAAGGTGGACATTGCAATCTTATGTAACATACCAATGTACATATTCTCACATACACTCCATTACCCGTTGGTTAGAGGCAAGTCACGGGACCCACCCACACTCAAGGGCAGAGAATTATACAGGAGCATGGACACCAGGAGGCAGGGGTCATTGGGTGTCATCTTGGAGTCTGTCTGCTTCAATAACTCACCAGTAAACACCCTCATCAAATGAGCTAAGCTGTAGCCAGCCTTTCTTTAAAGAAGGGAGGATAGTTAATGTCTGTGAAATGCCAGAGGGTCCTCATTAGCTCAGCCTTCACTATCTAAGTCCCCGCTGTTGTCGGGTTGCATTGGGAAGCAAAGGCCATCTTAAGCAGAAAATATTCACTAATATCAAATTGGTCCCCACTAAACAAACATTTCTCCTTATGACGCTAGTAAACGTCCTTGCACGTCTCATTCTGCCAAAGGTGCCTCTTGCTACTTGTGTGAGTCTGTGATGCAAATACTAGGGAGCCAATTGCACAGGTGCTACAAAAGAAAATTGTCTCAGTACCAGAAGCGTAGGAGAGGCTCTTGGGAAAACTGATGAAGCCTTCAAATAATTTTGCAAAACTGATTCTTGTTTTGATCATCTTGGGCAATTTGAGTATAAAAGACTATACATAGGGGGTGCCTGGGTGGCTCAGTTGGTTGAGCATTCGTTCGACTCTTGGTTTTGGTTCAGGTCATGATCTCATGACTCATGGGTTAGAGCCCCACATCAGCACAGAGCCTGCTTCAGATCCTCTGTCTGCCTCCGTCTCTGCCCCCCACCCCCCTTAAAAATGAACAAACATTAAAAAAAGGCTATATATCCTACTATCATACCATTTTTGGATAAATATAAGGAAGAAAATCAGCAAAATGTATCTCTTTTTTTCATTCCGAGAAAATTTCCTGGATACAAAATAACCTAACCTTAAATATGAGAGAAAACAACACTGTCCCATAATTTTTTGTTATTTTTACTAATTACAAATTTGGGTCTGATGTGAGCTGTGCCTGGGTTCAAATCCTATGTCAATTACTAGCCGTATGATGTTAGACAAGTGATTTAACTTTTCTGTGCCTGTTTACACAAATGTAACACGGAGAGGCTGGTAATAAGGTACCAATGTCACCTATCATGCCATTTGATCCTACTAACAATCCTGTGAGGCCAGTGTTGATGCAGGTGCCTTTGACAAAGTAAGTGACTTGCAGTTGGGGTGAGATGTCCAGATGTCCTTTTTTGCCTCCAAAAGGCTGGGCTTTGGCAGCACAAAGCAGAGTGGCCAAGTAATTAAGGTCTGGGGATCTGCAAAGTTTAGGATACCTTCCTTTCTAACTGGTTTTGGGAAAAGTCCATCTAACATGAGTCTACCTATAACAAAGACCAAATAATACGTTGCACCTTACAAGATGCGAGAGCATATAAATAACTTGCCAAAGGTCAATAGATTGGAAGTGGTGGATTCAAAGCCAGGTGTAAGTAGCTCCAAAGCCCAATCTGATGCTTTTTTTCCTACACTGCTCCTGGCACAGCCCTATGGATTGGAGGATGGGCAGGGAGCATGGGCCTGACTCGGGGAAATGCAACAGCATTCGGAAAATAAAGGGTCAGATCAATAGCTAACCCAAGAAAATCACTAGCCTTGCTTTCCCCTCCCCTCCTCAACTATCCCTTTCATCTTTTAGCTTTCCCCTGCCTCCACCCCCACTGCTTATGTTGCTCCATGATGCTGCTTGAGAAGGTTTTTGAACAGCACCCTTGAGATCTTAGGAAAAGAGAAACAATCTAAATCAAAACAGCAAATAAATCAATATCAAACCATCTTCCAGCCGTTCTGTTTGAATAGACAGAGAAACCCAAAACGAGGCCCAGGAGTGTTGGAGTTCATCTTCAAAACACAGTGCACGCAGTGTTCATTCTTACTGAACCAATGGAGGGAGACAGAATCTAAAGGAACTGAGGGGAGGGTCATTGCTTGATGGATCAATGACACAAACATAAGCGGCCGAATCCACAAAACATGCAACATAGGAGACTGAGGTGCTGTTTGGGGCTATGAAGGATCCACAGCACCTTTGGAACTTGGGATTCTGAGCATGAAGATAGGCCTTCCTCTTGGCAAGTTACAGCATCTCTGCCTCTTCAGACGTGAAGTAGAGAATAAACAAAATCCTTGGAGGTCAAGCTTGGAACAGAAAAGGAAATGCAATGCCGGAATCCAAGTGGTATCGCCTTGGAATACAGTCATTCCATGGCTGCTGCAGGTACAATCTGAAGGCTAAAATCAACTCCTGCTGCTGCGGGGATAATCTGATTCAGCTTTGACTGAACCTAAGCGACTATAGGTAACATGCTACATGGTATTTACTTCTGTCTCATTGACAAAAGCACAAGGAGAATTCAAAATCCTAGGCTTATACTACGGTTCTCAATAAAATGATGAAAGGGGATTGGAGAATCTTTACCCCCCAGAAACCTCAGAAAAACAAAGAGCAATGGATAAATGGGTAAATGGGCAAATGGATAGTGGGCAAATATCTTAGGTCAAAAATTCTTAGGTTAAAAAGAATTTCTAACCTAAGATCACCACAGTTTGACTATTTCGAATAACCTGATGACTAGTTTGAATATTTAAGGATAAAAAAACTCTCCAATATAGCTACAATTAATTACACATGTGTTAAAACTTTCAAAACTATACCCTCTAGGGGCTCAGTCAGTAGAACATACAACTCTTGATCTCGGGGTTGTGAGTTTGAACCCCAGTGTTGGATGTAGAGACTACCTTAAAAATAAAAATCTTAAAAAATAAAATATTTAAATGTATATATATAACCTTTAAATATAAATATATATTTATATATATATAACCTTTAACCCTCAATCTATAATGTCTACAAAGTTTGTAAAATATGTTTGTTACATGTATTAAATTATAAACTACATGTATTAGAATATGATAGGAAATTACATTTTCTTACTATCATATCCCCTAGAAGCACGGGATTGGGATGCGCACGGTTTGCTGAAGGAGTACACTCAGGGGAAAGGGAGCGAGGGAGGACAGGGCAGGAGAAAGAGCTAAGCAAAGGCAGGGTCTCAGCTGGAAATGAGCTTCAGAATGATCCCACAGGGAGCTCAGCAGCATAAATGGGTTCTCAGAATTGGTCCCATGTTGCGGTGAGGGAGCCAGTCTTCCATACCTCTATGTCAATCAGTCATTGGATGCTGGTTACCACTAGGGGCGGGTGTAATTTCCTGGGTGGGGTGGTTCCTGTGGGCTGAGGGCCCCTTATTTGGAGAAGGGGGAAGCTGTGAATGTTTAGCAGCTCAAACTCATAGTACCTGGGGGCTAGGGGCACGAGCCAGGAAAAGGCATGTGGCCAGTGCACCAGCAGCATTAGTATAAACTCGTTATAGCTGCAAAATAAACTCACTTGCCTTGGGATGATTAGCCCACTGTCTAGAACCTCATTACTTTGTGTTAAGGAATCTTACCTCACTGTCAGTACATTATAGATTTCTTGGTGGTCAGTCACTGGTATT